AACCATTTTTATTTAGTTCGTTTTTTAACCATTTTTATTTAGTTCGTTTTTTAACCATTTTTATTTAGTTCGTTTTTTAACCATTTTTATTTAGTTCGTTTTTTAACCATTTTTATTTAGTTCGTTTTTTAACCATTTTTATTTAGTTCGTTTAAAAAATATATATATATTATTATTACTATTTTGAGTTTATTTTATTTTTAATTATTTTTTAAATCTAGTATTGTAATGAAAAAGGACGAGAGACTGGTAGTGGTAGCCTACGTTGGTCTTTAGCTAGATTGCTAAAGATGCTAGACATAGGGCCCACTGGTAGTGGTAGCCTACGTTAGTCTTTAGCTATAGATTGCTAAGGATGCTAGACATAGGGCCTACTGGTAGTGGTAGCCTACGTTAGTCTTTAGCTATAGATTGCTAAGGATGCTAGACATAGGGGCTACTGGTAGTGGTAGCCTACGTTAGTATTTAGCTATAGATTGCTAAAGATGCTAGACATAGGGCCTACTGGTAGTGGTAGCCTACGTTAGTCTTTAGCTATAGATTGCTAAGGATGCTAGACATAGGGCCTACTGGTAGTGGTAGCCTACGTTAGTCTTTAGCTATAGATTGCTAAAGATGCTAGACATAGGGCCTACTGGTAGTGGTAGCCTACGTTAGTCTTTAGCTATAGATTGCTAAAGATGCTAGACATAGGGCCTACTGGTAGTGGTAGCGTGCGTTAGTATTTAGCTATAGATTGCTAAAGATGCTAGACATAGGGCCTACTGGTAGTGGTAGCCTACGTTAGTCTTTAGCTATAGATTGCTAAAGATGCTAGACATAGGGCCTACTGGTAGTCGACGGTCTCCTTTGCGTTGGGTAGGAGAGGAAATGATAAAGGAAGGGCGGATACTAAAATTGTATATCATGCCAATAGATAAAAATCTCTCATTGTATATTTAATGGAATGTGAACTTCCTAAAGCTTGAAGGCCGGGTGCACTATTCCCTACTACCAGTCACCGCAAGGCGTGGGATTAAGTATTGGCTCAACCTCGATGTCATCTGAAGTGCTCGGGGCAATTTGACACTTTTAGGCACCTTGTCTTAAGCTAACTGATGCCCCCTGGGGGGACGGCAGCGTCCTTGCAGGGGTGACATGAATTTTTTACTTCATAATTTTTTTTCAATTTAATGTGAAAGGAAACAACATCTGGTTGACTTGGTGCCAACCAGCAAACTCACTCAGTCATCACTGTTCACAGAAATCTCTATAAATAGATGGCACTCGATTTTAAATAGTGTATTTTTTAAATTTTTACCAAGACTCTTTAATAAAAAAAATATTTGCTATTTTGCAGTGAACTTGTAAGGCCAAGTAAATCGAAACAATTTGGGAACCACTGCAAAAAGTTTAAAAATTCAAATTTTTTATGTTCAAATTAAGAAAGTCCTAGGTTTTCAAAACTATTTTTTTTTAAAGTTATTTTCTTTTGGTTTTATTTTTTTCTTGTTTAAAAATTTAAGTTATCTGAAAACTAAAAATGGTGCATCTGCAAAGTAGTCTTTTTAAAATATTTCATTTGATTGATGTCTGTTATTTATTTGTGTAAACCACGACTAAGATGTCTTCAATTTTAATTTTTCAATTAAAGTCATTCATAGGTTATAAAATATCTTATATCAGTTCATTGATAGATCTTTATTTATTGTCACACAGCAACATTTACAATTGCCATCACAAAAAAAAAAAAAAATTAATGTATTTTTAATTATTTACAAATTACAACAAAAGTAATGTTGATCACTTTTTGAACTGCAATGATGTCTTGAACTACAATGACGTATCATGATATATGCCAACAAAACTCTCATGTTCCTTACGTTCAAATAGATTAACAGCTATTCACTAAGTCATAACATTCATGAATACTCAAGCATCAAGCCCACTACATTCATTCTCATTCATGTACACCAAGGTTTCCCTGATAAAACTGATTAGGTCAAAGGTCATGTACCACTTCCTAAGGGAGGCCACTGTGCTGTAACTGCTGAATGCTGGCTTTCAGGCACCCACTCCAGATATTCCTCTTGTAGAACTGTTTGTCAAGACAATTAAACAACAAAAACATTTAAGCATTACAAAAATTGAACACTAAGACAATTTAAACTTAGGGGTCGTTCGCAAATTATGTCAAGCAAAAAAAAAGACCTTTTTAGACCCCCCCCATCTCCCCTCATCACAAAGTGTCACAAACTCTCACCCCCTTGGTGTCACGTCACACTTAAAATAAATCAAAACATACATAAAATTCTCATAACTAAACTAATATGTTATTTTATTCTTTAAAATTTTCCCATAATGGATTAAGATGTAGTATTATTAGAAAAATGTAATGGTCACCCACAAGCCGAATGTAAAATTACCACAACAGTTTTTGCGTCATTTTCGGATATGCGCAGAAGGTCTGCACGACTGAGTTTCATGGTGCCTCAAATTAATGATTTTAAAATTAATTGAATAAAGATTTTTCACATTTAGAAAAATTTAGATTTAAAAAAACAAAAAAAATTGTGAAATTTTTTGAACCTCTCCCCCTGTCACAAATTCTCAAGCCACATCGCCCCCCCCCCCCCCCCACACCCCGAGCGTTACTTGAAGATTTATCCCTTATCAAACATTTTTATTAACAGTATAATAATATCACAATTATTGACCAACTTTATGTTAATATGAACCATATTTGAGAATAAGAATACCTTAAACCTTCCTAATATAAAATAATATAGGCATATAACAGGGACAATGCATGTTAAGATATTTGTACAAACTTTTTGAAACCCCTTTGAGCTACTGTATATTACCACATAAAATGCAAGAAATTTAGGGTAAAAAATTTGACTTAAAAGTAGGTGTATGCATCATATGTGTGAGTGAGAAATTTGTAATTACCAGTAAACAATATACATTGTGCCCATACAAAAAAATCTTCTTGGCTTACTTGCATTCTGTGACTCAGCACATTGTATATGCGCATAACACCAGTAGTGTAAGTAGTGCCCCATTTTGAATGGATATTAGCATAGTCGTATCAGTTTGACCACAGTTCATTTAAAATATTATAATAATTTGAAGGATTTTTGGCCTTTCTATGAAAAATAAATATTCATTTAGTTACTTTGTTTGTATTATTATGGATTCAAATTAACAAATCGCATCGTACGCGGATAAGGCTTTTTTTTTTATAACAAACATTTAGGGGTTCACATTATAATTATATGTGGATCACGTTATACATGGTAACATACAGCAGCTTATGTCCCCCCGCAAACCATTTTGTTAGGAACCTTTTCATTGGGGAAACGGTCAGAGTAAGAGCTATTGGTTTGGTGGTTAGGTGACCAGATCCAGAATGCAGGCTACAAACCCCCTGTGTGTTCGTAGAAATGATGTGCAGCATTTTTTATCAGGTACTTGAAATTAACTCACATTTGGGTTCAGATTTCCAAACATCAGCCAGATTTTCTTTTGAGTTGGCGCCTTTCCTGAGCAACGCCTTCAACAAACTCTCTGTTTTAGGCTGTAGCCTGAGGATGGAGTTCCAATAATGAGGTCATCAAAATACAGCTGGTGTTTACTTACTAAACTCATGCAAAGCCAAGACAAGTGCATCTGTTTGATATATATATAAAAGAACTTACTTGGCCCAAGATTTGACCATGATTGCCCCAGGCAATAGCAGGGATGACTTAAATTTGGCCAGCTTGGGGAAAACTTCTCCCTCCAACAAAAACTTTGCAAACCATCTGTAACACTCAACGCTGTCTGGGAACTCTAACTCTGTGGGAGGAAATTCCCAATTGCAACGACCTATGAGGGTAAAAAAAAAAAAGAAGATAAAACTCACAATTATTCACATTCAGATATTTCTCACATAAGGGTACCGTTATATATATATATAATTTTTCTTTGAACCCCATAATAAGTCAATAATAATCTTAAAATCAAAAAATATTTTAAAAATAAAATAAACATTGCAATGTGATGTCTAAACAATGAAGGTTGTCATTCTGAAAAAATGTTGGGCCCAATAAATTATTTGTTTTATGTAGACATCTTGAGTGGGGAAAACTCTCACATGTATCACTGTGAGTGGACAAAGAGATGTCTAGCTAAGTAGTTAATTTATAAGGCAGAATAATTTAAGCCATTTGAATAACAGACAAAATCTGAGACTTAATGACACATGGTATCAGTAACAGCCAGCAATGACTGTTCCAATACTAAGCTTTAACTAGTGGCATTTCAAAGATTGGCCGGTAAAATAAGCATTTCCTTTTATCTCGGGACCACATCATGAACTCATCAAGTTTTGAACGTTAATGAGATCTTATTTTTGCATGCAAGAAATGATTTAATTATTCAGAAACAATTATTACCAAATGACCCAGATTGGTGGCAGAAGACTCTCCCAGTGGACTGGTCGAATCTCGGCGGTGGGTCCTCAAGTGGCTTGGACAATATGCAATAATACCTGGCCAGTTCGGGGAACCAGTGGGGCTCCACACAGCAGATACCTGAACATGCACGAAATTACGATTTATATTTTTTTAAATCTCTAATAAAATGTAAAATTTCCGTGTGAAGTAATTCATTGATTTTTACAACTTGTTTTCTTCATGTCAGATCATGCCCATTTTATTGCACAATATTTGATTATCAGATTGAAGATTTGAAAAGAGACAGCTTTGAATGTTTCAGTGAAATATCTAAACGATATTTTGAGTTTAAAGGTTGACCTTGCAATTTGCCTGTAAAAAATGAACAGTGAATTACTGTAAGATTTCTATTTACAAAATGCCTGGAGTGGCTCCACAAACATGATTAGCCCTGCTACTTGCAACACTGCCAATTTGTTCTTTTTTTTTTACAATTGGAACATGCATAATTCCCAAAAAATTTTAAGAGAGTAGAATGGGATAACATGAACATTTTTTCATAATATACTCTTATGTTTTTTTATTATATTAAAATATGACAGCTAAGACATAAGATCCCACTGACCTCTCATATAAAGCCTTGATGTTTCCACCATGGACTGGTAGACAACGTACTCCGGTTCTGTGTTTCTAAACAGTACAGACTCGGGATGTATGTACACCAGTTCTTCCAACAACATGCACTGAAATGAACCTTTAAGCCGCTGGGCCTCTGTTTTTTCTATCCCTGGCAGTGGGTTTGGGTTGCGCCTGATGAAAACAGATAAGTTTTCAATGACTTCTGATCACATAATTTAATGACTTTTAAAAAATAGCATGACATAACAGGAGCTGCAGATGAAAACTGATTTAAAAATCATTTATATCCTATACTTTGCTTTAGCAGAGACATTCAAATACCAAAAAATTAAATAAAGCTAAATAAATTGATTAAGTCTAGATGCACTTGTTTATACTTAATAATAAGAGTTAATACAAAATAAAAAAAGCATTATAATGCTGTTAACAAAAAATAGTAATCTAATCTAGTTTGAAATAAATCTTGGAAGGAATGACCACATTTCATTTGATTAATTTGCCCTCCATAAAACCATTTTTTAACAATGTGTACCTTGCAGGAAAATGCTTCATTTCAGATTTAATTAAAACATACAAGATAATGAACTTTTTCTAAAATAAGGATCTAAATTATAATTTTTTTTAATGTTGTAGAATCTACTAAACAAAAATAATTATTTTCTGCATAATTAATTAGTGCTTAAATGTTGGCTATGTTACCTCGCTATATGGTCTGCTAGACCTCCAAACACAACTTTTCTTATAGCGAGGTTGTGCTCTTCTGTGGGTGGGGGTAAATTTGGGTCAACAACAAGACTGTCATCATGAAAGGCAAGATTAGCTGAAACAGAAACACAGACACTTTATTGGTGGTGGCACAAGAGATGAAAACATCTGCCATACCAATCAAAGAATATAACGTGACATCATTTCAGTGTCAATTATTGGTGCCTCTGAGAGCCTACTATTACTACTATAGATTATCAAAGAGGTAAACAATGACATTCTTTTTTTAAAACAAAATGAATCCACTCACACACACACATATTGCTCAAAGCTTCTCTCTCAACACTCAAAAACATTGTTCTTTTCCAATATCACGTTTGCTAAGAATTATTAAATTAAAAGTAATTGCAAATAAATTTTTTAAATCTAACCTTTTCAACAACAAAAATATCACGTTTCAGTTAATTTTAAATCTAGAGTCATTTGTATTTTTATAAGATTTTAGTTATTATAAATTATTTAATTTTATGAAAATAATTCTCAGATAAGCATCCCAACTTTAATGACGTGAGCTCACCAGCGTTTGTGAGTTGCATGCGAAGTTTTCTGATTTCTCTCATGGCCTTGACCCTCACACCCAGCTGTTCACAGAATGAGGCTGAGCACCCTTCTGCCTCACATGCCCCCACAGCTCTAAGAAGGACCATCATATCTCCCAACAGTAAGGCATTGCCCTGTAAAAAATCAGTGGAGCTATAACACTTTGACAATGCAATCAGCAATGTTCTAATGGCAAATGCTCAGTGACCAACTTGGGAGTTCCTTGAAACATTTTTATCACAGTTGATACAAGAAATTTTTTTTAATCATAAGTTCTCAAAATCAAAATGAACTCAGTAAATCTTTTGACATCTGCCTCATTTTTCATAACAGTTTCTACAACCCCAATAAAGTAAATCATCAAATTTTTAAAATACATTTCAATATCTCAATCAAAACTTTTGAACATTTGAGACAATTAGTGGTACACTATATAAAAAAGGATCTTTTAACCATCCATGAAATAAAATGTTTATTGGTTGTCACAGAGTTACAACTTTTGATTGTTGCTTTCTTTTTGTAGGGCACACTTTGCAAATTTGGACAACACTGAGGATTAAGTCTGCAAAGGGAAATGTTAACTTTCAGGTACACCGACCTTTCATTCCACACAAGTAAACCTATCTGCCAGGTACACCGACCTTTCATTCCACACAAGTAAACCTATCTGCCAGGTACACCGACCTTTCATTCCACACAAGTAAACTTATCTGCCAGGTACACCGACCTTTCATTCCACACAAGTAAACTTATCTGCCAGGTACACTGACCTTTCATTCTACACAAGTAAACTTATCTGCTAGGTACATTTACCTCAAGGTTGGATCTGAATACACCAAGCCTTGCCAACTTCGCCTTCCATGTCTCCTTCTAAAAATAGACAATTTATTGGAACACTGTATTGGATTCCAAATTTAACATCAGAGCATACGAGTGACAAATAATTGATCCCAACTAGGCATAAGTCAAGGTACACAAATGCATAATGCAACAATAAATGAATCATTTTGACTACCTTTTGCAAAGATAAACGCATGTTTATTATCTGATATTTCAACCCTTTCTAGCTATGGACTTGACATCTCCACCATCTCTAACATGTTTTCTTTTTGAAAGAAGGTTACTTCATGACAGGTCTTGTCCTCTAGAAGAAAAGATCTGAATAGGCAAACATAGAGCCATCCGTTTCCTCACATACATGACTTCAAAAATATATATATTTATATTAAAGCGACCTAAAATTAAAAAAAAAAATTATTTCTTTAAGTCTCCTTTGTGTTTGTTGCTCTAAGTCTCCACCTGATTGGTATGTTTAAACTCTCCTCTGTATTTGTCCATTAAAAAAAATTCACCCGGCAACCACAGCGACACTCACATCATCATCCAGATCTGATGGCTGAATGGCATCAACAAACAGCTCATCAACTGAGAGTGCAGCCACCAGCGCTATCACGTATGGCAGGACTTTGTACGTCCTAGCGAGGATCAACATTTTGGCATATCGAGGGGAGACAGGGAAAGATGCCATCACCATTCCTAGGTCTGAAATCACTGGACTTTTGGCTGAAATTTTTGTTAAAATTAAGTGAATAGCACATGAAGCAATATAATTCTATCTTGCTTTTGATTTAACTTAACCCTTTTATTAAAGAAAATAGCTCACAGGGCTTGACATTTATTAGAGATACTGTTCTAAAAGGTAAATAATAGAATAGACATTTTCAACACCATTTATTACAATGATATGTTAATTTATAGATATCGTATCAGCTATTTGAATGGGAGTACACAAAGAACATTATATTTCAGAGAATGTAAGCTGTCTAGCAACACTAAAACTTCTTTAGTGGAAGAGAAAAGTGAAAGCACAAAGAACTAATTTTTGGTGCAGCCCTCTATTACTACTTTACATGCACGAGCCCCTGGTCATCAGCAAAGGTTTATGTAACACATGCTTTTGTTCAGGATGCTCATGATTTTTTGCAAACGATACGAAGCGGAAGGTTATCTGAGAAAAGCATGAAGTTTGGGACTTAATTTTGATTGGCAGGAGAAGTTTTCATTAAACTGAAGTGAGAGAGCAGAGAAGACACATTGAACAAGGTGGAGGCACACTTTATAGTTAACTAATCAATGAGACAATGTCAAAAGAAGTGAAAATATATAATATATATACATATCATGTGCTGTTAATAATATTATTGTTCCATTTATTATTTATTGTGTGAATAAAGTGCTTAGTGTGAAGTTGGACTTGAGATTTCATTTTGTTTTGTAGAAGTGGCAGTGACGGTTGTTCTAGTCATTAAATTTAGACAAACATCATCACTGTGTGCCCCATAGACACTAAAATACCAGTTATTTCCACAAATCTGCATCTTCTGTCATAGGGACTGATAAAAGATAAAAATGTAAGATTTGCTTGGCACAAAAATCTGATGTGTCCATTCAGATGTATGCAACTAAATTTATAGACCAACTAAGCTGGAGATTACATTACAGAGTGTGATAGTGGTAGAAAAGTATCACAATTAGAATTTTACCCATTTTTAACACTACAACACCCACCTTTTTTTAGGTCTTTAAGTCTCATGGAGCCACCATTGATAGTTCTCAGTGCCCCAAGTGAAATCAGGAGGCCCTCAGCTGCCTGTCAGATTATAAGTGTTGAGCATTTAACTAAGTGAATTTTTGCTGAACAGTAGCTCTGAATTTTAGCACATTCTTAGTGTCTGGATACATTTATTGTCTGGCTGTCCTGCAATCTGCCACAATAACTACAAGCGATGAATAAATGCATGCCCCGTTAAATGTTGCTGGTAGATATATTCATCAAAATCAGAAATGTACTTTTATCTTCTGTAAAATATTGACGCCGGTCGACTGGTTTTGGTGTTTGGGACATTACGGATAAAAAGTCATGTTGAAATCTGTTACTTAATCGTTACTGTCTGTGTTTGAGTATAATGTTCTGGAATAGAATGAGTGGTCTACAATGTTCTAAAAAAACAAAATTACATTCACTTGGATCAATAAAAGTTTTGTTATCTTATTTAATAAAATCAAAGTATCCGTCACAAGCTGCACAAAATTTAAAAATATTAAAAACTAAAAACATTTTTCATTGGCTTCAGAACAGAAGTTTACCTTGATCTGTTCTGCGTCGGGACGAGTCGGGAAAGGGAAATTTGCCACTTTGTCAATCCTCATGCTCTGCAAACAAGAGAGTTAAATCTTTTCACCATTAAAACATTATCATTTACATATCAAATGATGCTCCAGAATAAGAAGCAGGAAAACCCCAGCCTAAATCATCAGTGCATGTGGACGAGGGGAGGCCTGGATCAATCGAATCATAAACTAACCACAAAAATAAATTATTTGTTTATGCAAGAACACTAGCAGTATTAATATAAAGCAACCAAAAAAAAATTAATTAATTGCAAGTTGCAAAGATAGTTTAATACCAATTTACAAGGCAAAAATACAGCAAACAGTGTTAGAACTTTCCAGAAAACAACATGAAATGTCCCCACTTTTGATTTACCTTCATCTGTAGAACCAAGTCTTCCACTGGGCGTCTTGTTATTTCAGGCGGTGAGAACAGAGGGAAGTCACTGAACACGGCAGAGGAGTAAAGCCTAAGAGCATGACATAGATAGAATGATTGTAAATAAGTCGTCAAGAAATAGTGCAAATTAAAACTCACAGAAATCAATGAGAACCTTTTTAATGTTGAAAAATTGAAATTAGAGGGAGTGTAATAATATTAGTGAAGCAAATGTATCTTATATATTTGCTGAGACATGGATATGGGAGCCTGACAGAGAGAAGGGGTAAGAGAAAGATGATTAAGTGGCATTGATTGGAATGAAGAGCTGAGAACAGACATAAGGAGAGTTTGTGAATAACTTTTTCAACCTGTGATCGCATTTAAAGACTACTTAACAATCCTAATCCTGTGTCTTCTCATTTAAAATACAAAGCTTACATTAATGAATATATAGTTCAAAGAAACACAATCTTTAGTCAAATTTATTGAAATATAGCCACGAAAAATTTTTAAGTTTAAAAAGAAATTATTTACTGGTAAATATTGCAAACGTTAAATATTACCTATAACAATGGCCTGGTCCCATACGACCAGCTCTGCCTGCCCTCTGATTGGCTGATGCCTGGGACACCCATGTCACTCGAAAAGTTGACACTCCTGTGACTTTGTCAAAATATTTAGTTTTAGTCTGGGGAAGGGATGAAACCAATAAAAGTTATAGAGCAGAAAGTCCAGGTCATGATCAAGCTTAAAACGGTCAACATCATTCTACAAATGTAGGATTTAAAATATGAACAAAATTAACTATTAAAAACATATTTCAATGTTCTGCACTTAATGCCTCAGTCCAGTGTGTGACTCCCTTTCTGTGCTCATACAAGTGGTGGAGAACATGCAAATGCAGTTGTTAGCAGGACTGGTCTTACCTTGCCTGTGTCGACAACATAACGAATGTTGGGAATGGTGAGGGAGGTCTCGGCGACATTGGTGGCTATGATGCAAAGCCTGCAGCCTTCTGGCGGGGGTTCAAATACCTGTTGTGAAAATATGCAAGAGGGTATTCAATTTATGAACTCTTCAAGAAATAATTATAGCTTAGACTATCAGGGAATCTAAAAATGCACTTCATTTCAAATCAAACCACCATCAGCATTTTAAATGCAAGTCATACCATGAGTCTCTAATTAAAATTAACTTTTATTCCAAACAAAATAAGTTATTTAGATTGAAAAAAAAAAAATGTATTATTCCAATTTGAAGAATGTTTTAAAATGCAAAAGGAACCATGTGAAAGGCAACCATCTTTCCCCCAAGGAAGTGCAATGCCATGTCAAAGGCAACCATCTTCCCCCAAGTAAGTGCAATGCATTCATTTACCTGAGCCTGCTTTTCGCTGGAGAGAAGGGAGTAGAGTGGTAGAACATACAGAGGTTTGCTACTGTCTGGTTGATCTTCACCCATCCTGGCTCTCTGAAACACAAACATGATAATATTTTTCAGGTGCAGCAAAGAGATAAATCTGTGTCCTACCCAATGTTTCCTGGACTGAAACTTACGATGCTGCATGACGAATCTTACTTGCTGACTAAAATAGGGAATTTGTTATACTTCTTACCAAGACTTCTTCATCATCGTCATCATCAAGAACTGTGCCATCAGCTGCAGCCTCATCTTCATCATCAACGTTAATATCAGTGAGATCCTCTGTCTCTCTCTCAGCTTCCTCATCTTCTTGAGGCAGAAGAGAGTAGCTGTTAATACAGGAACAAACAGAGCAAATGTAAAAGTACAGCACTCATTAGTTCCCATTATACAGAAAACACAGCATAGATACATTTCTTTTATAAAAAACAAATAATAATCTTACAGCTGTTTACCATATATTATATACAGGACTAACAAAATAAACCAGTGTTTGTTATATTTTATTTAGGTCTAGTTTACTTGAGAAAATAGACAACCAGACAATAACCAAGAATTGTACCACATGGCTGATTATATTCCCCAACATAACATCACAGCAATTAAAGAAAATACAGTGAGAAAGGGTAGTTTAAAAGAAGACGTAACAACAAACTCTCAGGTGAGGCTCAGTCAGTAATGGCCTAAACAAATATTGTGACTTGGTGAGGTATCGAAATGAGTTTGACTCATCACAGGCTTGACTCATCACACTGGAGTCCTTTAAAACCAATTTAAAGACACATCTATTTCGCAAACACCTTCTGGGATGATTGTCAACCTTATTTTCCAGTTATTGCATAATGGCTGTGTTGCTTATGGTTGAAATGGCTAGAAAGACTTTGCCATTGTATGCTTGTAATTAGTTTTTGTAGTGTTGCGTTTGTTTTAAATGTGGTAAATTATAGATTTGTTTTTTGTTGACTTTGTACCGCGCTTCGAGCCTTTGGGGATGAAGCGTGTTTTTGAAATGAACTTTATTATTATTATTATTATCACATTAGAAGATCCTCAACACTGCCATAATGACACCAATTACCATAAGTTACCTGCTTAAATCTATTTTTGGTACAGATGCCAGTGCAGCCTTCTCTTCCTCTTTCACTTGTTCTTTTTTTCTTCGCTCCCTTCGAGATTCCTTCTTTACTGGTTCTACGTTTACTGTAGAGAGAAAATATTTTGATGTTAAGCAAAGCCTTCATTGGAATAAAGACACGAGAAGCAAATGCTAACTAAGCCAACAGGAAATTACTTTATAAGAAGTACTTCAATACTCGTGTCTATTATTAAAATATTAACATTTATTAAAATCGCTTATTAACAGCCACATATTACAGTTTTAATACCTGCAAACAAACAATCCACTACTCCCTAGCAATGACTTACAATTAGTGCATGTATATTTGGATGGCAATAATTGCCAGTAGCGTAGCACCGGGTGAGGGATAATTGCTAGTAGCGTAGCACGGGGTGAGGGATGATTGCCAGTAGCATAGCATGGGGTGAGGGATAATTGCCAGTAGCATAGCACGGGATGAGGGATAATTGCCAGTAGCATAGTATGGGATGAGGGCTTTACAACAAAACAAGGCATACAAAATTTGAGGATCTGGTTTTTGAGCTTACCTTCACCAGGTACATATGGAAACATTTTTCTTAATTTCCTTATAAGTGTGTGCACCTCCTGCTGTCCAGTTACAAATACAAGGATGCCTCCCTCAGGGAGTGTTCGGTGAATTTTACAAACCTGAAATGTATAAATTTTATTGTAAACAAAGCTTTGTTGATAATGAAGGGAAAAAATACAAAATACATTCTATATGTCAGATTATAAATATATATATATAAATGTCAAATTTAAAATGAATTACCAAAAAAAAAAAATGTTTGCACAGTACAGTATGTTTGTAAAATAGACTAAAAATAATTAGAACAGAAAATCCTTTGATATTTTGCTACTAAGTAATGAAAATCAGTCCTTGCATCCCATAACAGAGATGAATGTCCCATGCACCACTGAGAGACAATATGGCAAATCTCATCACAGTCATTGGTTTATATAGCATTGCATACCATCAGACTTTACCTTTTTGTAAGCTTCTGTGATATAATTCTCTGCTGTTTTCTTATTGAAATGAACTGTAACAGGAAATTGCCGGGCCTCAACCTGGTGAATACAGTGACTTATAAGAAGATGACTTTCTGCCCTCAAGTTTGAGAGTGCTTCGACTCCATCAGATCACTGATCTGGGCTATTACCCCCCAGGAAAATGTGCTGGGCTAGTACCCCCCAAGGATATGTGCTGGCTAGTACCTTCCAGGTAAATGTGCTTGGACAGCTAAGCTACTGCTTACTCACTAACAACAACACACATCCATACTCATTCAGTGTTCATCTTGATAAGTTGGGTGTGAAACACAATAACATCATCCAGGTGATTGATGTTTTCATTGTATTTAATTTGTTTACCAGTGTCTTAGGCATGCACATGATCAGCAATTTTATAGCTAGGTAAACCAATGAGACTTCCGCAGTCTGCATCCTCAACAAGATTTGACATGCAAGTTATCCCTCTAAAATTAAGTCTAACCCTTTGATTGTGAAGCTGATGATATACAATTGTGCAAGCAACTAAATATAACGTTTCACAGTTTGACCACAGCATTTAGGTATTCTTTTCTTTTATGATGCTTGAGGTATTATTTCATATTTTATAGAATCAAGTCACATTTCATCATCTTACCTTGACAAGAGGTGGAGGTGCTTGGTATTTGAAGAGTGTGGGGCCTGTGAAATCCTCAACCCTGAGAGTTGCAGACATGATGATTAGCTTCAAGGGTTTCCCCCGCTGTAAGATAAACAAAAAAATGTACCATCAAAATCTCTAAAGATTACAAACTTTGTGAAAAATGTATAATTAAGATGAGTCACTCATTTACTTGTAAATACTTTTGAAGTGCTGTACATTTGGTTTTAACAACAATGATTTATGAAAGACTAAAATCAAAAACTTTATAATAATAGCTTATTAAAATTCTTATCTCACCTTATCTCTCTGCCGTACGATTATGGACAGAAGTCCTATGAGGATATCAGTATAGACACTTCTCTCATGAGCCTCGTCAATGATTATCACAGAGTATCTGCCCAGCAATGGGTCCTGTCAATAATAATTTTCAAGTATTCAAACAATCTGTAGCATTGATGATTGCAATTTCTCAACATTAAACATACATATCCAGCATGTGGTTAGATCAATGTGGTGGAATCAGCTAGCCCCCTACTTGACTTTGATATTGGATTACATGTTTTCAGGACATTTTTACTACAAGAAACATTGACACTAATTCTGTGGAGTTAAGCTATTATATATAAAATATACAGAAACTGTGGCAAAGATGATATTGAAACAAGGTCTGAATGTTTTCTCCTTGTAGTAAAGCTTTAACAACGACAAGACAGCTAGTTGTTTGCGTCTTCGTTACTCCCCCCCAAGATAATTTCATGTCTCAAGAAAGCAGCACTCATTTAATTGTACTCTATACCTGTTGAGCTTCTTTCAGAAGGACACCATCAGTCATAAACTTGATCTTTGTATCAGGAGTGGTGTTGCCTTCAAACCTGATCTGGTACGAGACCTCTCTGTCTGTAAGGTTCATCTCCGCTGCAACACGCTTTGCCATGCTTATGGCTGCCACACGCCGAGGCTCAGTTACACAAATTATACCAGTTCCACTAAAGTTGAAATATGAAATGTAAAATTAAAGCCTTTTAAAAAATACTTTGGTGAGAAATTTAAAATACAAACTGAACAGCTCAAAAGAATGTTAACAATTCTTTGCTCTGAGAATTTATAAAAGTTGATTTGAAATACAAATTAAAACTATCAAAACAAAACATTTTTTTTAAAATTGAAATACTAAGTAAATCTAAGATGTTTTGAAAATAAAAAGTTAGACACATTTAAATTGTAACTATGCCATTTTGAAGACAATTTTTTTCAAAGTGTACACTTCTGAAGCAGAAACTTATGTACTTAATTCCATATCTTACTGTGCATAACCAGCTTCATAGAGAAACTGAGGAACTTGAGTTGTCTTCCCTGAGCCAGTCTCACCACATATAATGACAACAGGGTTCTCTGATATTGTCTCCATGACAACTTGCTCCTCAGCCAAGATAGGAAGTTTCAATCTAGCTTCCTATATAAGAGTGTTAAAATTAAATCATGTTAAATCTTATGAAGTGACATAAAAATATAATTATGGAACTCATCTCAAAAACAGATTAACTGCATGCTAAGAAGCATGAACACTTGTTTTCATCGGTATCTTTCTTTTTAAAAAAGTTACAGGCTACAAGAGCACTACAAAATTCTAATGCATAAATTAAACACAGAATAACCTTTGCCACAATAATTTAAATGTTACTTTTCTTTTTGCACTCACCTGCATCTCAGACTTGCGATTCAATGGTATGTATACAACAGGTTTTGGATCTACTTTCACCGATAGTTGAGTTTTCACTGGTGGCCCCTTTTCTTCCTCCTTGGCCTGGCGTAAATGTATGTCAAATTTAATAATTTATTTAAAAATAACTGCCTTGATGTAAATTTACAAATAACAATTTCCCGATGTTAAATCCATGCTCAATTGTTATCTTCAAAGTACTTACAGTCTTTCTAGCATAAATATTTCCAAAAGCCCTTATTATCTAACGCGATTACAAAAATAATTAAGACACCCTCATGGCCAACAATAATAAATTAACAGTTAGTAAACCGTATTCAAACAAATGCTTACACTGTTGACAGTTGCAGTCTCATCTATGCATGCACCATCCATTTTCTCTTCTTCATCTTTATTCTCCAGCTTTGTATTCTCCTCCTCCATGATTGCCTCAACCTCATCATCTGTAGACATGTCATCGGTGTCAGTTGATTCTGGTTCTTCCTTTTTCTCCTCCAGTTTCTTGTGTATTTTTTTCTGGCGCTTTGAACCTTTGATTGAGCTGACTTTCATCTCAAATGTGTCCCCAACAGAGAGATCACTGTTAAATACAGCAAATTTTAATTAGATATAAACTCGACTGGTGAAATTTACCAGGTGTCCTGATAGTGAGGGATACAGAGGTTATATTTTTATCACAGCATTTCTCAAAAATTTCAAAAGAAGAAACATTTCTCATTTTAAAAGTCGGGATAAATAAGAAGAAGAAATAAGGTTTTTAAGCACTGTCCTAGTTCTACTCCCAGTCTTGACTGCAATAACTCCAAATTTAAGTATGACTAAAAATCACCTTTTAAAATTCTGTGTGTAAACTTCTGTTATTGAAGTAAAGCGCTTCATTTCTTCTTCAGAGGCTTGATGCTTTGCAAGAGACTCCAGTAGTTCAGCTCTCTAATTGTTGAATAGAAATTTTTAAATGGTAGGAATATTTGTATTAAGAGAGAATATTCATACATTTAAAGCAAAGTCTAGATTAAAAATACAAAATGATTAATAAATAATTGAACATTTATTATTATTATTAGTGGTTTTATAAAGTGCAGTACCCCAGCCTAGGGCTGGGCTCACCACGCTGTACATACAATTTAACAAACATAATCATGAGCTTAAAAATTAACATACATTAATTAAATAAAACAAAAAAATGTATATTCACTCAACCCACTCCAGAACTATTTACATGTCAAGCCATGGACGGCACCCAGCAGCATCGTTTATTGATCAGGGGGGGGGGGGGGGGGTGGGGAGATCAGTCAGGATAGTAGAGTTTAAAGAGATGTGTTTTGAGTGCAGTTTTGAAGGCTGTGATGGTCGGTATATTGCTGATGTGTAGTGGAAGAGAATTCAATTGTTTGGGGACACAGAAAGAGAAAGATTGTTCACCGTATGTTTTTGTGCGTGTCTTGGGGACAGAAAGAATACGCGTGTCAGCGGACGAGCGAAGCTGTCAAAGGGGTGAATAGACAGAGAGAAGTTTGTTTAGATAAGAAGGGAAGGAATTCGAGGAAATTTTGTGGCAGAGAACACAAAAACACACAAGTAAACTAATAGAAATTTGATTACAAAATTGTTTTTAAAACACACTTATTTGTATTAATGTAAATAGGAATTACCCTCTCTTTTTTTTCTTTCCTTTGAATAATGTCATTGAGCCTTTTCCTCTCCTTTTTACTGAGCTTCTTAACATTTCTGACTGGCTTCTGAATTTCTTTGACCTTTTTCTTAGGGATAACCACCAGCATATTGGAATCTCCTTCAGATGAGGTCCCAAAAGATGGAATCCCTTCAACTCGAACCTAGGTGTAATAAAGTAATAATTTAATAGCAACTGTAAAAGAAAAATTTAGGTTCCAACGAAAACAATTTGATTTGACTGACGTCTTATCACAGAATGCACACTCATTTTAAACTCCTGTTGATACCTTTTTAAAAAATAATTATCATACCGATCATTTTGAGAATAACATGCTGATCAATGGAAAATATGATTAGAAAAGGGTTGTAGCAGTAAATTTCCCTGGACTGGTATTGCATGGACCATTTTTTTTACCTTCCTTTCCCACTCTATCATCAGAAATTATCAAAAAAGAAAAAAAAAACAGACACCTTCGTCACAAATATGCAATGGTAGCAGATGCAAGCCATACATTAGTACCTTAAAAATATCAAATTTTCACAAGTGACACCCAACCCCAGATGCCAGGGGCTTGCAAAGGGGGCACCCGACCAGGGTGCCAAATTCTTCAAAGTCAGTGTTGAAGCAAAATATGTTTTGGCCTATGATTAAAAACTTTTTTTTTTGGATGACATAGGCATAGGACATAGCCTAATTATGTCACAAGTTACATCACACAGTCACACACAGGAAAATACTAGAGCAACCTGGTTCAACCTGTCAAGTTTTCTGGAATCTGATCAGCATCTTTGGAAACCTTAGTCCCAGGGTGCCAAATTTGGTCATGGCACCAAATCTCACAATATTTTTAATTAGCATTAGTCAAATAACATCTTGAAAATTATCATTAGTTAATAAAATAATAAGCTAAAACAAAAATGGCCATTTGGAGATATAATGAAATTCACTTAAGTTGTACACTTCACATAGTCATAGTATTGTCTAAGTAAATTTAGTAAAGTATAGTCAACATGACATAGAGGTTGACGGCTTATTTATGACTCATTCACTTGATCACTATCACTAATCACTGACTCACTCAAATGACTGACACTGACTAAATAGAACTGATTAAAGTACTTTGCATGTGTTTATAACGTACATAGTACATATTTTGTGAATTTTGTGATTGTGAGTACTGCCACCGCAACTGCAATTCTATGACTAGGGTTCACAGTGGGCAGTGGAGTGTAGATCGATATTTAGGCAATCCTCCGAAGTCCAGTTCCAAATTATTTCCATTGATTACTTCTTACTTGAAAGTATTAGTATTAGGTATCATTTTCTTTGAAATTCATGTTTGCGGTAGTGGACGATGTTGGATGGAGGCTGTTGGCCGTCAAGATGCACACACACTCGAGCGCATTATTATTATCACTAGTCATGTGTTACCAGGGACAACAATCGTCACGGACGCTTGGCGAGGATATCAAAATGTTGGTGAGCTCAACAATGGGATGTATGCTCACGCTGTCATTTTGTTTATCCAATAGACCAGGACATTCACACATAAACTATTGAAGGACTCTGGATGCAAGCAAAACGTAAATTCAGCTTTCAAAGTGGTACTAGTCGCGATCTATTTGCCAGCTACTTGGGGGGCCTTTCAGTGGTGCAACAGTCACAAGCAGAACGTTTTATGCTGCTATTTGCAAATGCTATGACTATGAGCAAATAGCAACATTTAGTATTTACTGCTGGTTTGTGAAGTGACAGTTATTTTGCAAAAGCTATGACTGACATTTCTGTTGTTTTCTAACAATACACACTGTGCATTGCAATTTTTTTCATACGAAATAATTTGGGACCGTACTTCGGAGGATTGCCGATATTTATATTTATTTATTTTTCCATTTTTTAATTTTTACGGTTCGGTACGTCGGGACACTGGAAAGGACCTGTTTAGACTCTTGCAGGAATTAGACAAGTTTATGATTTAACATTTTTTACCTTTTTTCCATCCGTATCAGTCTCAGTAACATCTACTTCTCTATTAATAAGCTTTCTTTTTTTCCCCATGATTTATTAATTTAATTTGAAACCAGCATCACACGAAACCTTTACCACATGTGTTTGTTTACTGAAATTAGTGAAACAAAATTATTTGAAAGTGGTCTCCCTTCTAAACTTCCGTTAAATTCGCATAACGATTGATTAATTATCGCGTTATAGTTAATAATGAAAATTTTTAAACATTAAAAATTTTTAAACATTAAAAATATGATTTATTGTTTTTACTGAGTATAAGTGTTTTATTCATTAATGTCAGTTGTAATGTTTTATGTTTTTACAATAATATTAATTAACAGAAATATGTTTTTATGACTTCAATAATAAATAACGATACGTTTATTATTATTATCACTCACGACTAACGAAAAGTAAATAATAATTATGCATATCACAATTGGTGAATTAGTGTGGTGATATTATTGAACATTAAACTTGTTCCTATTTTAAAATCCTTTATAATAACTTCGCTTTTGTTCGTGGGTGGCTGGCTGGCTAAATCTTCAGATAGCTAATTAATTGACCTGCTTACCATCAACCCATTCCTATCAGCCTATCAAGCTGAAACTTGCAGAGACTGAATTAGTGAAACAAAATTATTTTTAAGACTCATTGCCGATGACAACACATTCTTTCAAATTTTCATTCCCACCCCCAACCCCAAAAATCTGTTTTCCTGTTTTTCAAAGGGAAGATAAAATTAAATTCCAGATAACTGGGCTAAATGACATTTTTATTTTTTTTAAATATCGCAAGTGCGTTTGGTGCATAATATGTTTCTTTAATTTTTCTCTAAAATTGTTGGTGAAATAAATCTGCAATGTAAGAGTTGGTGGGTCATCAAAATATTAATATTGTTCAGGGGTGTGAAAAATGTGCGGTTACAAGCCTTGAGGGAGGGAAGCACTAATTGAGGTACTTATAAAGTGCGTTACTTCCATGCATGTTTTGTCAAATTCCACCCCCCACCCCCCCACCCCCCGTCTCTATAACTTTCATTAAGGATTTTAAAAAACATTTTGTTTTTAGGGTGGTTTAATTTATTCTTAACTTCGTATTAATTTAATTATATTTAAATACACTGGATCATCTGCTAGAAATCTGAACATCCTTCAAAGTGGAAGGGAAATTATAATCATTACTTTTAATTACCATTTAATTAATATGGTAACAAACTACATAATATATATTTATATATATCCTACCAGCAGAAAACAAAACATCGAGAAATAAAATAAAAATGTTTAATGAAAGCTACCATTAATGACATTTGGCATTGGACGGAATGTAGTCACTATGGCAAACAACATGCAAACTGCTGTATCACCATAAAATAAAAGGAGGGATTTTATTGAAAAAACAATATTTTCAGTTTTATGTATTTTTAACTAATTTTTTAAGTCTATTATAGCCAGAAAATAAATAAAAAAAGAAAAAACTAATATCAATTGTATGAAATAAATGTGATTAGTTCAATCAACTTCCATCCATATCATCAAATATACTGAAATATACTGAGGAATATATTGTGGCCATCCTGGCATGAGCAACACATACACAAAAAAAGGTGGGGGTGGCGTTGGGGGGGGGGGGGCTGATGAGCGCCCTTGGCAATCTCTGCGTTGTCATTTGGGTCCCATTGGTTTAAAAGTAATTTTTTTCAAAAGTGGTCCAACTACACAGCCTCAGAAAAAAGCATTCACTGCTCATAATTATTATTGTTTGTCATACTTGAGTGTGAATGCTTAAGATTGTATTTACTTGCTGGGGACACATCAAGTCATCAAGGTCAGCCTTTATGAGTAGTAGTATTTGAAACAAACAACATCTAAATAAGTTTTTCTCAACTATCAACGTCTGACTTCTCCGAATGAATGAAGATACACTAAATAATTTCTACGGCTTATACCTAAATAAATGCCGAAATGAGCTAAAATAAAAACCATGATTCTTTCCAGACTAATATTGTCTTACTAGTACCTCAAATCTGTTGTATTGAGCTATCTTTTCAGTTTATAGTTTAAACTATAATTTATACAAGCATTCATCAATGAATTGTCATAACGTCACGCATTCATCAATGAATTGTCATAACTTCTCACCTACAAAAAAAGCAAAATAAAATTTTCCAAATATTTTCAGTCATCCTCCATTCATGCTTTACAGAAATATTTATTTAATATTGTAACACTTGTACATTAAAATTTAAAAAGTTGCATGGAGGGGACTGGAATAATCCTTGTGATTGTACCACACAAAACGTCTGCCCTCTTGTCTTCAATGACAGTCGGCATGGTAAGGCACATTGAAAATCTAAAATATTTAACTCATTCTGCATTCATTCATTTTTAACAAGCATTAAGTTAGTTTAAGTTAAGCTTTTAGATACGAGGCCTAGTAAAGTGAATAATAAAGTTGCCACTTTTATTTACTGCTGGTTTCTGACTTTTTTCTACAGAAATATATAAAATGAAAGAAAAATATCTCATCATTTTGTCTCATCTGGCTTCACGAATAGTAGAAGAGATAACTTTTAAAACATCATTAAAAACTAAGTTGAGCTGATTGCCTTTATCTAAGTTAGCTTGAAATGGAGCCACCTGTAAATGATTTATTACAGCCAGTTTGTACTGGGTAATGAAGGGTGGGGATTGGTTACAGTAAACCATTAGGTAAGCTGAACTGAATTAAAATATAGAGCCGCTGACCTAGCATTTCAGGTTTAAATAACACATTTTCTCACGAAGTCTTGTTTAGAATTATGTAAAAATTCTGTGATTTACAGAAGACTATCAACTCCAGCCTGGCCTAGCCACAGACACATATCCTATAACACCAAGAACAAACACCAAAAAGAAAGGCAGAGAATACATGCGGGACTCGCCCATGTACACAGACAAGACAGGGTAAGCTAACTCTCTCCAGCAGGAATCATAGTAGCACTCCCCTTCGGCAAATGACATGAAGAAGCGCTCACAGGTGTCCGAATAGAAATTGTCTGGGTCACACCTTGTATAGAACCTGTTTGGAAGATACAAATATTATATAAGAAGAAAATGTTGTCATCACTCTCTGATACAGAAGTTGTACAAGTTATGTAATTTTGATTCTCTGATATAGAAACTGTATCAGCTATCTAAGCTCTATCTATAGTTGTTTTAATTAAATCATTCTCACTATGAGCCACAAAATTTCTGAGCAGCTTTATAGTAAGTCATTGTTTCAAAGACTTATTCTGTTTCAGAAACACAAGAGAAAAAAATTTTAAAACTATGGTCATGCCCAAGATTGTCACCAGCTAATTCAGTCAGGTAAGTGGGCTTGTCCAGTGGAAAAAGCTGACTAGTCCAGTAAAAGTGCAATAGTCCAGTGGAAAAAGCTAACTAGTCCAGTGATAAAAGAGGACTAGTCCAGGGGTAAAAATTAACTAGCTCAGTGTTAAAAATTGACTAGTCCAGGGGTAGGGTGGTAATTCATTATTTGAGGGAGTATTTTTACACAAAAAAAAATAATTTCAAAAAAATATTAATAATTTTAAAAAAAACAGAAATGTTTCAATTCTGGACAAAATCTCTTAATTTATCTTTACCATTTATCAATTATTCTCTGATGCTGAAATTGCTCAGCAGTTGGAAATAAATACATTAAAGTATGTGATTTTCAAAGTATTTTCAAACGCAATCACAATTAAATATTTTAAGCAATCAAATTATGGCAATTGAGACTGGTAAATACCAGCCCTCCATTTATTTTGTGGATGTTTGATTTACGAAAAGATTAAATTTTCATAACAAGGTCTTTATAAACAATTTAAATGGTAACATGTTTTTTGCTGGTGCCGTTTGCAAGATGGTTTACCTCCTGAAAGTACTCCCTAATGGGAAACATTGTTACACAATTTTGATATTAATTGAAAGAATCGATAACTGGGAAAGAAATTGTGCTTTTTAATATCACATAGTTTTTTTTGTTTACAATCTTCATGCTTTCAAAATATCAGCATTCGAAAAAAATATTTCAAATTTAATTATTTTTTTTTGTTTAGACCAGCGAATTATGATCAAATAATAATTATTGTGTGTAAAAATCAAATCAAACTGCTTACACTTGAATAAAAGAGAACAAATTACATTGATAAGGAACCATCTTTGACCTACCTGCTCTCAGTAGATTTAGGTACGGCAGGTACACGAATGAATTGTATGCTGCTGGTGAGGAGAAACTTCTGAGTGGAGCTGCCGTCACATCGTTGTCTGTTGGCACCTGCACAGTCCATGGTCCAGTTGGACTGAGTATAGCTGTCAAGTTACAGGTGGGGGGAGAATTATAGTTAATGTGCATATCAAATTTAAAATAATAAAAGCAATACAGGCTAGAGAGATTGTGGATTAACAGCTCTTTGAGTCACATTTCCAACTAAAGAAGTGTAGTCACATTACAGAAAAATCAGAGGAACTTCAACGACTCCGAATCCAGCTTAGATGTCCAACTCCATAACTCCACCAACATGTCACAACCTTATATAAAAGCAGTTTACTTACCTGATGTAGGCACCCACCACCTCATATCGAGGATAACCATTGACAGCTCCAGTCTGGGCGTACATAACATTGAAGTGTATGCCAGTTGGCAGTAAGCAGATGCCCGCAATGGTGTCAGCCCAGGACCAAAGCGGCTCAGTCTGGTTAACTTGCGTGGCGTTGGCAGTTGTATTTAACGTGGTGGTGGGGGTGGGAGTGCTGGTACTCTGGTCATTTTGTTTGTTCAAGGATTGTCTGAGGGATTAGAAAATGTATCATGTAAGGAAAACCTTCATTCTAATGTATACATTGATTTTCAGCAATCAAAAAACAATGCTTAAAAAAACTAGCTTTATATTTCAACTGTTTTTATTTTATACCATATCTCATGGTGATTTTAATTCTTACTATTCCAACATTGTGGATGAATGGTGCCTTATAAAAAATGTATAAAAATGCCAACAATATTCAAATCTCAGTTTGGAGATTTTTTCTTAATTTTACGGTCAGGATTCTTTTCTCTAAAGAAGTAATGTCAAGACATAATATTTCAATGGGTTATAAACAAACATATCTTAGTTACTAAACTTCATTATCATGCAAAGGTATTCATATATTGAATTAGAACAGCATTGATTGATAATGTAGTATCTGCAAGTTAGGGGGGGCCAGGGGCGGGGGGGCTGGGGTGAACCCTTTTTAAACCAGGAAAATTATCATTGGTACTAACCTCAACACAGGAACCCACTTGTTGACATCACTAGGGTCATTGTACCCATAGCGACCTATGACATCAGAGGACATCAGAACATTAAGATGATTTGTCACCAGATGTCTGAAGATGTAGAAATTTCAGACTCATGATAGATTTTCATACATTAAGTTAATGGCAGTAATGTAAAATTGAGCCTGAGCCAGCAGTTTCTAACCTTTAGGGGTCTCCTGTTGCTAGTGTAGGATTGAAGGTTACATAATTTTTTCTACCCGTTTCAAAATGATAGAAACTATTTCAGTCAAATAATTGTGTTTTTTTTATAAGTAATTTTTTCAATGATTGAAATTGCAGTTTAAACAAACTGGACAAAAACATACCTCAATTCTGTACAGGAATTATTCAACGTGGCAAAGTTTAATATCAGGGCACATCCAGACATGACATCATCACCAAAAGTGACAGGTTTTCTGGCCGCATTGACACATAAACCATCAGCACCTAGACAGGAAATTGATGGATGGAATAAAATATGTCCATCCTTTATTTGGTCAAAACAAATCAACAGTGAAAGTTTTGCATTTCTTTAAAATTACAGTAATTTACAAAAGGAAAATATTTATGTTTAAATCCATCAGGTTGTGTAACTTTTTAAATTTCCCAATGCTTTTATCAACCACACTACCACCCCAGCCAATTAATTCCTTCTCCTAATTATAATTAAATTCAGGTATTCTGGATGTATCGTGTTAACTGATCAAGGCAATACATTAATAAAGCTTCATCCTACTTGTTTTGTATACAGAAAGTGTCTCTAAATCTGCATATTACAGTTCAAACTCTTCTAATGAAAGATATTGTTATAAAAAATTATTTTGTAGGTTTGTATTCATGAATATATGAATATCTGAAATGCCATCATTTAGAACACCAGGCTATAGTGTTTGTAACATAAAAGCCAGTCATGGGGAAAATTATAGGAATATAAATTTTTTTAATACCATTCTAAATAACTTTGTTATTCAAGTTATGACTTTTTCATGACAGTGGTGGTATAAATTATTAAAAATATACACTCTTTCATGCACCTTGGTGCAAATAAATTGAATCCATGATCCATGACAACATATTGAAATAAATTGAATTCATGATCCATGTCAACATATTAAAATAAATTGAATCCATGATTCATGTCAACATATTTTGCTTTGAAATTCAAGTTGAATGTTCATGATAATGGTGTATACTAATATCAGAAGAATACTCCAATATACCAATGTCCCACTTAGTCTCACAATCTACCGATCCGAATTTGCCAGGTTTATTGATACTTTTACATCTTTCTGGCTTTTTTGTTGCACCTTCCTTGATCCAGCAATTACATAGTAAATAAGATATTTGAACAAAACAGTTGCTCACCAGGCCTGAATACAGACATCTGTTTCTCATTGATTGCATCAACAGAGTTGAACTGACCACTGGTGCGGTTGAGTCCAGAACAGCCACTGGACAATGCTTTGCCCATATCATAACCTACAGATACATTCACGGTAATGTTGTGTCTTTAATTAATCCAATGTGGATTTAGAATTATATTTAAATGTTACGTTTAATATTCAAAGATGATAGTAATTATAAATTACTTATAATAAATAAAGTTCCATTTAAAATATAAATTTAAACAGATCTAAAAAGAGTTATTTTAATTCACAAACTGAAATGTCTGACCAGCAACAAATTGAGGCTTTAAAAATAAAATCATTACCTGCAGTGCCAGACCTCCGGTAGGGGGCAGCACTGTTGTCATAGTTGTCAGACTTTCTCACTGTTGAGTTGGTCCTGGCTTGCCAGGTGACAGCAAACTTTTGCATTAGATCAACACCTGCAGTCACATTTGCCATAATGATATCAGCAGTTACTTGAGTTATTTCTGAGCCATCCCATTCAAAGTTGTATCTGCGAATGTGGGCATCAAGAATAATTAAGGACTGTTTCACACAAGAACTTGCTGAAATCTTTAAAGTATGGCAGGATTTCAAAATAATTAAAAATCTAAAACTTAAAACTCGGCCGATATGGTAAGGTAAATGATTTAAGCTAAATAAGCCTCTTTTCCACCAATCAACATGGGGGATTATGCCCGGTCCTTTGGTTAAGGAAAATGCTTTAGCTGTTTCAAAAAAATAATTTTTTTTGTGCTGTACCCGGTACTAAAAATTTGCACCAAGATGTCCTCGTAAATCTAAAGAGTAATTTATTTCTTTTGCTTTGATTAGCATTCATTATTCAAAATGGGATGTACAAAAAATATTAATATTTTCCAGGTTAGTCTGGCAGGGTTTAAATCACTCTGTTTGCATAACTGTCATCTAAACAAAACTTATGTGTTGTAGGTTTCTCAATTCTAAGAGAATACATGCATTCAAGCTGTGTGAAGGAAATGGTGGAACAAGGTGTGTGGAAGCTTGAAATATAAATATAGGAAAATAAAAAGAGAACTTTCGGCTAAGAGCTTTCTTCAGGACGAATTAAGAAACAACATTTTTTCATTTGTCCTGACTGCCGAGGAAGGCTCTTAACCGAAATGTTCTCTTTTTATTGTCCTGTCTCTCAATTTTAAGCTTCTACATACTTTGTTCCACAATTTACTTCCCAATTATTTTATAATCTTTTAAACTGCAGATACCAAAATTAATTTAATCCAACCAATAGTTTTGAAGTTACTAATCATTACTCTGTTGGAACAACTTATCACTTATATGCAACAGAAACAAATTCACTCCATGCTCAGAAAAAACTCATTAGGCGTGGCTCAGGGCTAAAGCCAACAGTCTAATGACTTTAAGTCTTTTATCAAATGTATAATCTGTATGAGAAGCCTATATGAGCCGTGATGTCTCACCTAACTTCTAGGACAGCATTGAAACAAGTGATATCATTGGCTTCCATGCCAGAGGTCCGTATCGTGTATCCATCATCCCAGGTACATCTCGGTGGCAAGGTGGGGGCTGTGCCATACATTTTGTTTGTGTTGTACTCCCAGCATGCCTGTTGGTATAATGGAATTAATGTACAAATATTTGTCTAACAAGGATTGGTCTTGAATAGCTGAGCGAAACAAAATCAAATACCATAGTATTTCCAAAATATATGACAATGCCAACGTCAATTTCAGTACTGGTATTTTAAAGATAACCATAATGCCCTGCAAAAATAACTGTAATACCCTGCAAAGATAACTGTAATACCCTGCAAAAATAATTGTAATGCCCTGCAAAGATAACTGTAATGCCCTGCAAAGATAACTGTGATGCCATGCAAGGATAACTGTAATGCCCTGCAAAAATAACTGTAATGCCCCGCAAAGAGAACTGTAATGCCCTGCAAGGATAACTGTAATGCCCTGCAAAAATAACTGTAATGCCATGCAAAGAGAACTGAAATGACTTACTCTGTCTGAGCAGCCATCTGTACAGTTGACATTAGCCAAAGTTGACGGGAAGTTGGACTCAGTTCCTGCAGACGGCTGCGACTGACCACTGGGCAGATATGAGCTGAGGTTTGTAGCACAGTAATACCTTACATCCGCCACTGCTGCAGCCTTGCCTTCCAACGTCTGAGCGACCTGGAAGATGGCAATACTTTGTTTTTTACATTATGAAATCAAAATACGATTCATCAGCGTCAATTTAACTTTATAATCACCATCTTTTCTAGATGATATTTAATACTTAGCATATCGGGCAAAAGAAAAATGTGCATGCAAAATTCCCAAAATGAGTTGGTAAACTTTCTTTTACTAAAAACCTCAGCAGGTGCTACTTAAAAGGTACATAATCACATAATTCATTGGAATATTCTTTTTAAAGCTTGGTTAAAGATTACATCATAATTAGCCATTTCTCTTCTGCTCTTAACAGTATCCACTAATCAACTGATTAAAAGAGGGGGGAGGGATTTGTTTCCCTCAATGAGTCGGTGAGCAGGCAATCAATTTTTGTGGAATGAGCCCATAAGAATAACTCAACAATTTGTATGCACTGGAAAAAATGGGGGTCGGGGTGGAGAGTAGTGGTTAGAGTGCAAGCCACCACTAACTGAAACCTTTTGATTGGTTAGAGAGTAGAGGTTAGGGCAACCAACCAACAACTGCAACCTTTTGATTGGATGGAGCGTAGAGGTTAGAGTGCAACCAACCAACAACTGCAACCTTTTGATTGCATGGAGAGAATATAAAAGAATAAGTCAATAGAGAACTCCATAGAGAATGCATATAAAGAAGTGAACAGGAAGTGGTAAACAATGTACTCTAAATAATGGTTGATAAACATACACTAAAAACATACACTATGAAATGGCATATGGAAGAAGATCAGTATATATGAAGAGCTTATTTTCTAAAAAAAACAAATCTTTTTGTAGAGCAAACCAGGTTCCTTTAGGACATGGTATAGTTTATTTACAAAAAACATTATATTCCTATTTTATTCTTGTCTAAAAATGATTTAATTCTCCTAACGCAGAATGTCATTTTTTTTGGTAAAATTTGAATAATCTCAAAGTACAAAAAAATGGATATACAGCATTTTTAAACTCAGCTCTTCATATTTAGAATCAGGTTTTGAACCCTGACCTGCCCAACATATTCCCCCAAGCACAAACTGAAACATTCCAGTATCAACATCAGCTGATGTCTAACAGGCTTGAGATGCCTAATTTAATCTATCCTCTTAGTTAAATAACTTTAAAAGATTGAGAAAACTCAAGAATGGTAGAGGACACCACATCGACCCTGCTACTCAATGTTTTAGTAACAATACCTTGAAAGACTGAGAACACCCAGCTATGGTGGAGGACACTATGTAAATCCTGCTACTCAAAACAGAGAGTGGGTTGCACAGCTGCGGTGTCACGGTGACCCTACAGGACGAGGTGAAGTCCACGAGATACTGTACTGGAGTCAGTTGGTTACACAGACCTCCAGGGCCAGGCTGGGACAAGGCCAGTGTTCCCGATAAGAAGCGATTGTTTGTGGTGACGTCTTCTCTGATGCTACGAATGACTGAACCATAGCTGTAACCGCTGGTGGTCGAGGAATCGAATCTTCTCTCTGTTTCACTATTTAAACAAAATTGGATGAAGGATACAAAATAGTTCAAAAGACAGAACATTTTCACATAAATGGATATGTGTGTGAAGCAGGCTGGAACAAAATGTCAGAATCCAATTTATTTAAAGCCATTAAAAGTGAGCTTGGAGCTATATCTACACAGACTGTATCACCAAAGAGATGGATCCATTGGAGCTATATCTACACAGACTGTAGCACCAAAGAGATGGATCCATTGGAGCTATATCTACACAGAAAATAGCATCAGAGGGATCAATCTTTAGGAGCTTTAGCTACACAGACTGTACACAGAACAATTTGAGTTGTATCTATTTACGGTAAATAGAAACTGCTAAAAAGCTTGACATCATCAATTGATTTTCAGGAGTCTGAACATTTGAATAACTTCATCAAAATAGTCCTAACTCCAGAAATATGAAAAACAGATTAGAAAAAAAATAAAGTAAGGTCATCTTAATTTAAAAGAATTTCTCGCAATGGAACCAAACAGTACAGACAGATCTTTTAAACTCTTTCATTCCACGGACCGCTTTTGTCCGTCAGATGAAAGCCAACCTCCCATTCTTATAATAAAGTATTTAAATGCATATAATAAAATTAAATAGAAAACGCAGCTCACGGACCCCTTGACATCCTTTTCAATAACCCAAAATGGGCCTGTGCAAACACGGGTAAAGAGCCCACCGCTGTAGAGGTGACGTAAACAAATCCACCTGGTCATACAAACCTATAAAACTGTGTGTGAATCACATCCATTCCTTTCAGCAAACTTTTTCAAATATTAAGTAATGCATGTTGGTTTTAAAAAATTTAAGTTTCATATTTAAAAAAGGCCTTTGATAAATTATTGTAAATTATAAAGTATAAAATGATGACTGTACTGCAGTGTCTAACAATGACTATCTTGGGCAGAGCTTGTGACTATTATGCTGATATAGACAAACTAGCTGACAAAAAAAATTAGTAAATGAAATATTCATTATAGAGCTCCTGACACTATTATCATCCTGTCAAATGAATGTGCCCTTAAAACGAAACTTTTCAGCTGACTCGGAGTAACATTGACATGATAATCTTACCCAAAGGTGAATCTTCCTTTGCTTTTCTGTGCGACCTCCTGACTGAATTCATCTGAGCTCTTCAGCTTGCTTCGGCTCTGGTAGTACATGCCCAGATAACCGTTGTTCTCCCAGTAAACGCACGTGACCAGGTGCCAGTCGGTGGGATTGAAAGCCTTAGATGAACATTTGTAGTCCTGGTCCTCCGGGGACTGTCCGCCAGACAGGCCTGCAATGCACCCGCTAAATCTGGCCTTTTCTCTGGTGCTGCATTCCTAAATGACGTATAAACATGTGTTATCTCGAATATTACATTGACATACTGCATTTGTTTAGATTTTTTGATAACCAATTAAACATCAGGAATAAAGACAAGGGTCCAAACTTTAGCCAACTGTGCCCCATTTTGGCACATGTGTTGGCAATCAAAGTTGCTACCTTTGATACTGACAGTTGTACAATAATTATGCAAAGACAATAATAATAATATGGATTATTTTTTTAAAATCTAGACACAAAATAAAAAATGGGTCAGATTTTCCACCTTGGTAAATGTAGCTGGAAATTTGTACCAAACCCATTTGTTAGTTTGAGCAGAAGTCTGTTACAAAATTAAATTTGTATGACTGAGATAATTTCCAAAGGAATTTAAAAAAAAAATTAAATTAAAATATATATATAGTGATTCTATGATGAATTTAGTAAGAGTAAATTATAAAATTCCTATGAAGTAATGTTTATGTTCAAACAAGATTCCTTTGTAGAAACTGGTTGCATACTAATTGGTTCCGCACAAATTTCCAGTAGCACTTAGTCACCACTCCATACATCCATGAACAGCACTTGTGGTGAGTAACAGTGCATGATTACAAACACTAACATATCATGACCCTTTTGAATGGAAAGATCCAATCATTGGGGGTTTGGCCGCCCTGATGTTAAATGAATTAGGTAAAGCCCTTTAACTTATGTCGAGTATGAGCGTTCATTAGGAATTGTTGCGACTCAATATTATGTTCATTAGTTGTTGAACGCTTTTCCCGCGCTTGACTATTATAGTTAGTGAACGCTCTTCCCGCCATTGTCTTTATGACGTAGTATTTTTATGCTGAGTCGTGACGTATTGTCTATGCAGTGTTGTGACGTATGTTTTAGTCGTGCTGGCAGTCTTGAGTGGAACCTTGGAGTGATAGGATGTTTATTATATTTACTTAGATATTAAAGTTATAGTTATTATGAAAAGGAGTTGAGTTTGTTAATTGATAGTAAGAATAGTACGACGCTTCAACGTATGAAAGAACTGACGAATGTAATCAATCCAAGAAGACAGTAGGAGTTGACAACTTACTGTGTCACAGCAACAGTTGATGTCACACGCATACCGTGTGAGATCACAGGCACAGGGGGCCACCGCCACGTAGCCAGGATTCTGCAGCACCCTCTCCTCTGTTGGATTTAACACGGCTGTGGACGGACGCACGGGGTTCATTTGAAAAATGTGGAAACTACACAAAACTTTTAAGAGGCATTTCAAGCCGTTTTTGTTTAAGCGAATGTCTGCTTCTGCATTATTATATATGGAGAGATGGAAAACAAATACATTATTGTGTCATCACTTTCCATTAAGATTACATTATCACGTTTCAAATGGACTAACATTTTGGACATATTTTTATTGAAAAAAGGATATTTGCAGAGCTAAGAGTGACATCCCTTTAACATTAATTCTATAACACCTTGTCAAATTATTCTCTCGACACCACTAATATTTTAATGCATCTCTGAGGTGTAAAATCCTTTTCTTGACATTCCTAATATCCTGAACATATCTCTAATGTTCTGAATTAAAATTTTGAGGACATCCTAACTTGTGTGTTCTTATCTCACAGAGGGAGTATTTTATTTAATAAGGCTATCATTGGAGTAGGCCTACTGTATATAATTTTGCAAACATAAATTTGAATGGATGAAGCACCTCTGTCCATTATACAAGAATAACAGATTGGAAAAAAAAACTCAAGCCTGAAAAACACTCAAATAGAAGTTTTGCTAATTTTTAAAATAAATTTTAATGAAGGTATAACACTGAGGTTGGCAACCAACTGCTCTGGAGCCGCATGTAGCCGTTAAAAGGAGTAGATGCAGCTCTTTTTTTTTAACGTATGTATTGACGTTCCTTTCTGCCAAATTTAATAATACCAAGGCCGCCGCCATCTTGGTGAAAATCAGTCCCCATCCTTCCGTTTTTTAAATAAGGGTTTTCCCACAATCGATGTAGATTTTTTTAGTTAGCGGAGGCTCATTTTTAAAAAGCCTTTGGCTATGTTTTTTGTAAGGAAAAGATATAAAATTTACATTACTAGCTGTTTCTGAGCTTCCAACTCGAGTCCAATATAAAGAATTTAATAATTGTACAGTATTATTAAAATGAGACGTGAATATCGGCAGGATTTTGAATTTCCCATATAACAAATACAGAAAAAAAAGGGGGTAGCTTTTTCTTGCTATAAAATAGATGGTTATTTCTCTGTGACATATTGACACAAGAATCATGAAATGGTTAAGCTTTCATTGGGTACCAAACAAAAATTGGCCCCTCCAAAAATGTTGCTGACCCCTGCTCTAACATATTACCAATAGTATTAGTTCTAATTATTAAGTTATTACAATTATGTTTAGTATAGAGAATTCAATACATGGGGTCTGAAGACAAGGTCAATGAAACCATAAAAGGTAAAGTTAAATCAAAGCAGATACAATCAAGGTACTAGAAACTAGCGTACTTTGATTATTTGCACATCCCTGACACACGTATGGAGCCAGGCTAGCCACAGCGTAGCTCGCTGCCCTCTTGTCTCGGAACTGAGAGTTGGAACTGCTCTGCGGCACACAGCAGACTGTCACCACAATCTCAGTCCTAACGTCTATGGGGATTTTCACACGCTGGGTAGTCACAGTGCTGTAGATTCCTTGACTGGGTGAGCTCTGAAAGATTTAAAACAATGAGGATTTAAAGCTGAATCAAAAAATGGCTGTTTGGTAGCACAGGAAATTGTTTTTATTCATAAGTTCATCAAACCAGCCAAAGACAACTGGCGGAAACAAACAGATCTATGAGAAAGAATTGAAGGCTTAATAATGTGGTGATATTTTTATTATCTTTACATAAATAAACCAAAAGTGTTAAAAGAAAAAGAGTAAATAACACTAATAATGATTACTCTGGATTCCAATACAAAATTGCAAGCTTACAGAAATTTATTTTTAAAATTTTTGACAGCAATCAAATCTTTCAGTGATAATACAGAAACTTACTGGGATGTCGAATCGAGGGTTGATCACAGTCCACTCTGAATTGGGGTCTGCTTGAGGTGTTGGGGCAGGGGTGGCTGGGGGTGCAGCTGTTGTTGGGGCAGCAGTTGTACTGCCATTGGAGGTTACAGGAGTTGTTGTAGTTGTGGTGGTTGTAGTGCTAGTGGTTGTGGTCGTTGTTGATGTGGTGGCTGGGAAAAAAAATATGTGTTTGATGTGTTTATTTCTTTAATTGTAAATATTTTAAATGCATCATGAACAGATCTTTGATAGCAACAGAGAATGTGTCCTACTCAGGGTGTAACCGTAGCTTCAATGCCTTATTCAACCCAACTATTCTGTATCAAACATTACAAAATACCCAGTGACATATTGAGTGACATTTTGAGTACTTCAAAGATTTTTAAAAAATGATGCAGTTTTCTTACTTGAACTTCCTTCACAAACTGGATTGGCTATGGCAGCTTCTGCCTCACTAATGGAATATACAAGATATGCCAGACAGGACACTTGTGCTGTTGCAGAACCAGAAGCGATGGCTTCACTCAGTGAAAATATAGACTGAAAATAATATTGAATAAATTGTAGACCAAGGGTTCAAATTTAGAGTTATATTTAGCTATAGACTATACTTGGCTTTGCTCACTAGTTATAGACTATACATGGCTTTGCTCACCAGTTATAGACTATACTTGGCTTTGCTCACTAGCTATAGACTATACTTGGCTTTGCCCACAGCTATACACTTGAATTGGCTATCAAAAATTATTTGAGAAGAATTTAAGTAAAGATATTTAAAATAAATGATGCTTTACTTTTCTAAGAAAAAAAAAGGAAGATAACTCACAGTGACTGTAGTGTTGTAAATCCTTGATCGCTCTGGTTTCAGACTGACAGAGTTACCCCTCAAAATAAACTGAGCACTACCTGATGTTACTGGAAATTATGAAATAAACAAGTTGGTCATTTACAAACGTATAATCCCTTCTGGTTCTCTGAGTGGACTCACATGCACATCTAAAATTTACTGCTGCCCCTTATAACTTGACTTTAATATTAAATTTATTTCTTTTATATATAAATATATATATTTTTAAGTATAATTTTCAATCCAGTACAGATTGGGAGCACAGGTTATGTGGTGATTATTTTCTTTAATTTCTCTTATAAAGATAATATTCTGTTAACAGAAATAATATGTTGTTTTTTTGTTTTAATCATACAACATGCTTAAGTTTATGCATGAGTCAAATTTAATAATCCACTGGTACTTTATTTTATGTGTGTAACCAAAGTTTTGCATTTGTTCACTCTTCATAATAGTTTTCCAGTTTTAGTGAATGTAATGATAGTGAATGACTCACAAGTTGCAGTTTCAAACTGATTACCAGTCTTTGACTGGGCTGTGCAGGTGACTGTTGCAGATTCGCCTGTGTTAACACTTATTGTTCCATAGGGGATCTGGTTGGATGGGAACAGGTCATTTTTTGATGTATGATTTCAGTCCATTGAACGTTGGATTTGTCAATATTATCTATAAACATTAAAGGCGACACTACCTAATATTATGAACAGTCTGTGACACAATTTTCCTTGCATCCAGTACCTGAATCCAGCCGTAACCAGAACTGTGAGGATTGCAATTCTGGTCAAGGTATAACAACCCCAAACTACTGGTAAACTAAACTAAAACCAGGATTTCCCAGCTTGGAGTGCGAGTTGGCATTTCAGGGGTTGCAAGGAAAAGTGACTACACGAACAGAGGAGACATTTAAAGCATTAATGTTTAGATTTTTAAAAATTCCTTCATTAACATTTTGCTTTATGTAATAAGTTCAGCTAAGAACCTTCCTCAGCATTACAAGGCAAACACTTAAGTTTTTGAACTACTTTCTATTTCTTGTTGTTTCTTCATTTGTCCTGTCTGCTGGGGAAGGTTCTTAGCCGAAAAATTTTTCTTTTATTGTCCTGTCTTTCTATTTCAAGCTTCCACATCACTTGTTACACTATTTCCTTCACACAGCTGGAATGCAGTCCTTCATTTATTATCATGTCGTAAGCTTATTTTCAAAGCTCTAAATTTCTCTCAGCAATTCAAAAATAATAGTTATATTAGAAATCCATTTTTTAACATTCTAAAATGCACTGTTACTTTTTCAGTGCGTGCCGTACTTAATACAACGATTTGTAGGGGGTGTCATACCAGGAAAATTTGGAGGGCCTGCATGACTTAGTAAAACAATTTTTAGGGGTACTTGGTAAAAAAAAAGTGCAGGTGTGAGAGACTTAGTAGAAAAATTTGTGGGAGGTGCGAGACTAAGTCCAAACAAATTTGAGGGATGTGCAGAGTACAGAAAATATCACTGGACTAGACGTTGATATTGTCAAATAAACCAGACATAATTGCTGGTGAAAAAATTGTATAACAGCGAAAGAGCTCACTAACTACAATACCATCGGGGAGTCTTTTCGTTTGCAGTAAAATATTAAGAAACAAAAAGGGGCATAAAGACAAAACAAGCATTGCTCACAAAGCTGAAAACAGCTTAAATGACATAAACTGTATGGTTGGACAAGGTACCAAAGCACATGCCCATGCACCATCTGTATCTTAAATGTATAATTCTGTGATGAAATTCATGCTTTTCTTCTTGATAAGCATTTTTTAAAAATTGATATGAACCCTATTTAATCCTTAACTCATACCTGTTTGCTGATTGTACCACTGGGAATGTCTGCTGAAGAAATATTTAGGATGGCTGGGGGGAAAAGGGGGGGAGGAAGAAACAAGTTTAAAAAGATAAAAAACAATTCTTCTTTAAACTATTACTCATCTACAGGTGCACACAGTTTGAGTGATTATGTTGATAGTTGGTGTGACTTTCTTTCCATTTAGACTGTTTATAAATAAAATTTTGATAAACATTTCAAAACTTGAGTGGGCTTTAGATTAATTACAAGATTTATTATTGACAAAATTAAATTTTTTAAACGCTTGATATAAACAATAGAGGTGACGAAAGTTGTCATGTTTTAAAAGAAAACATGGGGCAAATTTATTTATAATGTTTTGTTTTTTTAATTAACAATCATTAAAAAAAAATTTAGAATAAAATTTCAGTTCCTGTAACAAAAATTAAAACATTTGATCAATAAATCCTGAGCATTCAAGTGAATATTTAACCAACAATCATTGCTGCTCTTTAAAACTTATAATATTCAGATACATGCTATGAGATTATTTCCCCAACAATTGTTCTACAGAGGCATATGATTTTAAATGCAGTTGATCGAAGCATCATGAAACTGTTGTATTGTGAATAATTTGTGTATCTTTTCTGAGCTAAAATAAAAAATAACCCAATGTGTTCACACTGAGGAATTGAATTTCATTGATTTAAACACTTACCTGGATTTGCACTACAACTTGCAGTGACATCACTGTCAGGTACCTGACTGGAGACAAGTTAATGAAGAAATGATGTGAATGTGATTGAACAATGTCTTGAAAAGAAAAGACTATACAATTTTGTATTGCTATTTAAGTAATTTTTCCAATAATTAAAAAAATTATTTTTATTTATATCTTTTAATCATTTTTATTAATTAAATATTTAACAAGAATTTACAAGAGTGTGTGACATGACATTTTTTCCTATTATAAAAACTAATTGGTTAAATCAATTTCTGCAGTACACTGATGGCTGACAACAATCTCTCAGCATTACACATGTTTTGCAATTTTTATTTGACATTACATTTTTATTTGTCTTTGGGCACTTTATATATCTTAAAATAATGAGTATAAATTTATAGATCACTCACCTGAGTCTCACTCCAAACTGATATGGTGTTGTCCCAGTGGCTCCTGGATTATTTTTGACACTATAAAAAGTATCACATAGTGAGATAGTTCCACGGGGTTGGACAGCTACTGAACTGTGGAAAAAATGCATTAAAACCATAAAAGTTTTGTGACATGGCAGTTAAATAGTCTTTGAACGTGAATGAACCCCCATTTTGAAATTCACTAACAACACTTTGCATGAGTTTAAAACTAACCAGACGATGCTGCAGAAAATATGATGTGTAATATAGCATAATAAGTCTAGCCTAAATGGAAAGATAGAACGATACATGATTGTCTAGGCAATTATGAACGAAAGATGATGTGTAATACTTAAGCAATTCTGATAGAAGGATGATGTGTAAGTGAAGGCACCCCCATCCTCTCTTATGTAAATCTAAACAAGAACAACAGCACCTCCAAGCATTCTCTTCATTTCTATTAAATTTTTTTTTCATGACTTATATTGTTGACACTAGCATAATCGTGTAATGTAAGTGCCTTTTAGCATGTCTGTTTTTCATTTCTTTAGATCACTCGCTTACTTATTGCAGTTGTATGCGTATTATAGAAACTGGCCATCTAAGAGGAATTATATTTATTATATTTATTATATTTCTTTCAATTTCTATTACTCTCTGAAGGTTGAATTAATCAATTAAAACTGGTTGAGCCTAACTTACAAGAAAATAAAGTGAAAGTGAAATTTTTCAAAATTAGCAACAGAGACAGGGTATTATCAGTCTTTTGTGATCAAAAAGTTTACTTTATAGCTCTCTAACTTATAATAATAAAACATTTGCCTACATTCCAAAAAGCATTTGATCATCTGTGTTTAAAAATAATACAACAAACTGACAGTGGAGACAGACTCAATGGTGACCCAATGTATCTAGTTTACAGTGTAAAATTAAAACAGACATCTGCTGCTTGAGATTCTAAACTAATACACATAACATAAGAAGACAGACAAGATTGCTTGTATTCTAGGAAAATTATAACTAGATCTAATTTAAATAATGCAATTAATGAATGGTTATTATTTTTATGTTCATTTTGTGTGTATAGGTTTTTTCCTATACCAGTACACAGGTTTCCTGGAAGCCTTTGTAAAGAGTTGTCCCTACTGGATGTTGAAATGCATGTCTCATTTTATGTTAACAAATTTTCTCTCCTTTATTTATAATACCCATTTTGTGCAGTTCAAAGTTCTACTACTTCAGTCAAAAAGGTTTTGTCAATCACAAACCTGCTAGCTAAAGAAACAAGCCCAGTAAGGTTAATGTTTCATCTTTTAGATTTAGTTAACTAAATTTATGATTTGTATCATTGACTTACACACTATTTGAACGAGAAGTCTCATTACAGAACTGCGCCCCGCCAACTACGGCGGGACAAACCGATGATGGTGAAGAGCCAAAACAGGCTATTTGAACAGGTCGGCCAGCCTTATTCAAGCTGAAAGTATTACAAATATTTTTAATGTACATAATTATGGTTGCGATATAGTATTAAATGGTCAATGTGCTAGTATTGAAAAGTTGACAAATGCTATTTATTGAAAAAAATAATAAAGCATTTCATTTCTCCAAAATAGGCCACATCTTATCTAAAATAGTACTAGGTGCTAGGGTAAGTTGCCACTGCTCAGCTCCTCTCTTTGCACTTCTAGTCTCAAACATGATAAAGTGGTCATGGGAAATACACACAATTTGTAAAATTTGATTTTAACTCTCAGCATCCTCCACCCACAACCCCCTCCCCCCCACTCCCCCCCCTGATCCTTTACATAGTGTAAACACTAATGATGTCACAAAATAAATAAAAAATTGACAGTAGGGGGTGGGTGGAAGAGGAATGTATGATGGCCCATTTAGGATATATTGCACATCCCTAATTTGGTACAAATTTAATGCAATCTCATAAAAATACCCTGGATTCTAGTAACACTTTCTACATTTAATACCGAACAACTAGATATCATTTTTCAATTGCTGAGTAGTTCTGCCATTACCAGTTAACAGATTATCTGCAGTATGATATGTGCAGCCCAAATAGAATGTACTTATAATTAATTTGGTGGGTTGGAAACAAATGTTAGTATAAATATAAAAATCATTTTTCTAACAAAAATTTGAATCTTAAGATTTTCAAACATTAACAACAGTTGGATTTTATCTAAACTTCTCAAATTTTTGTTTGATGTATGAAGCATTTTTTAAAAAAACAACAAAAGCTTCCTACAGGAACCTTAGGTTTAACAAATCCTCCTTAGATAAAAACAATATGGTATATTGGGTAGTTATGGAGGGATTAGTAACTCTCATTGTGCAGCAGTGGTACCCCTCTGGAACAGCTAATCAATCTTTGGTCCCCACATGCTGCTCAGCTCTCACCTGTGGTTCCAAGAAGCTGTAGCTTGCAAAGAATGTTGTGCTGCAGGTGTTGGTTTCGCTAACAAAGTTGCTCTGATTAGAATGCTGGCTAGACTTCCAAAGGCAGTCAATGAGAGAATAATGACAATGAAACTCCCCTACTTATCTGGAAGAAAACATCCCAACATCATCAGCTGCTATGCTCCAACAATGACCAATGCAGACGAACACAAGCTCTATGAGGATCTTCATTCTGTCATAGCTCATGTTCTGAAGAAGGACAGGCTTATAATTTTTTTTTTACTACAACGCTCAAGTGGGATTTGATTGTTTCGCATGGCATGGGTAATGTAGTAGTATGGAGTGACCTATTGCAATAGTAGCTGTCTCCTTTTTCTCCAGACTTGCACTGGGTGCAAACTGCTGATTACAAATGCAATCTTTCATCTTCCAACGCATAATCAAACATCCTGGGTGCACACTTGCTCAAAACATATGCATCTCACCACTATGCAGTTTCTTGGACCAAGCTCCAAAAATCATCAAGACAGGTTCGATGAAAACTGTACGGTAATCAAGCAGCCGCTGGGGGAAAAATACTGTCCTCACAACTCCAATTCATTTCCAAGGAAAGATGAATACAACAACTTACGTAGAACGGTGCAGCAAAAGCTACGTCAAATGCAGGATAAATGGTTTTGTGACAAGGCTGACCGAGATACAGGGCTTTGTGGACAGACGAGATCTAAGCAATTTTTATTCTGCTCTCAAAGAAGTCTATATCAGGATGCTCCCCACTTCTGAGTGCTGGGGAGAAAACTCCGATTACTCAGAAAGAAAAAATTGTCTAACACTGGGCAGAGCACTTTGAGAGCATCCTAAATCCTCCTTCATCCATCAACGATGAAACCAAAAAGCAGCTCCGGCAGGTGCCCATCAGTCAGAAATGGAAGACTCCCCCCCCACCTTTACCAAAGGACACAACATGCCAAATCCAAGGTCCTGACAGACAACCTCAGGAACTTTCAATATGCTGATGAATGTGCCCCAAATGCTGACTCGGGGGCTAATATACAATGCAATGTAGCAAACTTCTTGAATGCCCACACAAACTTCTGTCTCATCATTAACACAAAAAAAGTATTAGGCCCAGCACCAACCAGATCCTCCAAAACCTTACATTTAGCCCAACATCCTAGTCAACGGATGAACGAACAACAGGTAAATTTTAAAATGTACTTACTTCAGGGAGATAGTGGTTGAATTAATTGTAGCAGGCAAAGCTACATTATTAATAACAGTTATTTCAGAAAAGCCCACTCCAGTTTCAGAAACTGTGCAGTAGATTATTATCTGGGGGGATAAAAAGAAAAATTCAACCAACTAAATTTAATGCCAAATATCTCCATACATTTCTCTGCCAAGGTTTGCAAAGAAGTATAATAGAATTTTTATTTGGTGTAAAATTATGTTTTTGAAAAATATAATAATATTTACATTTTATACAAACACTCACATCTTCATTCTTTGGCACACGAATTGTTGGGTTAGCACCACTGAAAACAAGAGCATAGACAGGGATAGTTTTGTTTGTGTCAGCTTCAGTAAAAATGTAGTCCTCAACAATTGGAAGGCCAGTGCTTGTGTTTTGAACACCAATGTAGATCTTTCCAATATCTGCAAGAGTAAAGATAGAAGATATAAAAAAATGACATCTAGTTCAAGATTTTTTTTTTAAATTTACAAAAAAATTATGTTTAACTCGAAACATGCAACATTTGAATTATTTAAAGCTAGCTTCTAACATTGTTTTACCTTAATAGTTTGCTTCAGGCCTAATTAGAATTAAACATCTTGAGTTAATTAACCAGTTCATCAATTATCATTGTTTGTCATTGTAATTTTTTGGACATTGAAGGCTTCAACCCAATTCACATCCACCATCTTAGAACCACAACATTTTTGTGATGATATGGGATTAAAAAAAAGAGGGTGGGGGTGGGGGGAGGTGGGGGGGGGGGGGTATAAGCCATGTGATTGGAAAACGGACTTTTTTAACACTAAATTAGAGAACTTTGTAGCATTATTCTTTTACACAACACAGATAATTATTTTATTTTTAAACAAAGATCACTGAGAGAATCAATGCAGGTGTGTGAAGCCTGAAAAATGGCCTCCTGATCAAGTTAAAGGCCGCCAAGGAGGAGGAAAAAGGGGTGTGGTAACATTGACAGACATAAGAATTTATGTCAAAATGTGGAGACAAGAGTCATAGAATTGGGACTACCATGTGAAGTGGGATGGAACTAAAAATGGTTGAAAAAGGTGAGTTGGGGGGGGGGGGGGCGTGGGATTTTAGTAAATGTTCTAGAACAGGAATTCTTAACCTTTTTGCAGCGCTGCATCCTTTCTCTATTTTAAATCATTTTATAACATTGACAGACATAAGAATTTATGTCAAAATGTGGAGACAAGAGTCATAGAATTGGGACTACCATGTGAAGTGGGATGGAACTAAAAATGGTTGAAAAAGGTGAGTTGGGGGGGGGGGGGCGTGTGACTTTAGTAAATGTTCTAGAACAGGAATTCTTAACCTTTTTGCAGCGCTGCATCCTTTCTCTATTTTAAATCATTTTCCGCAACCCCCCCTTCCCTGCATAAATTATATTGTAATAAAAAATTTATATGATAATAATTCAATAATTTAGTTATCGTAGTTTTATTTTTCACATTAAATTTCTAGAAGTAATGTGCAAAATAAATTCACAAGAAAAACATGGTTCCTTGAAAAACGTGCACACAATAATCGCGCACAGAAAACTCTGCAAAGACATAACTGTGCACACAAAAACTGTACACACCAACAGTTGCGCACTCATAAAATTGTGGACAACAACAAAAGCATACACAGAAAATTGAGCACACTGACTATTGCGCACACTGACAATAGCAAACACATACAACTGGGCAATTTTACAATGTAATTGTAAATTCATTACATAGTTGAAGGGCTTGCAGTTGGCTTTCAGCGTAAAAGACAAGTTGGTAATTATAAGAGGCTAGGATTAGGAATAATCATTTTAAAAATTAAATACTAACAAAATCGGTCATCTCATTTCTGATTTTTAAAACTATACTCTAATAAAATAATTATATTCGTATTTAAATACGTAATATTAGATTTATTGCAGCAAAAGTTAAATTTCTATTAGGCAAAGAAACATTTTTTTTTAAAACTTAGACATTAAATTGACAGTAATTCTCCTTTAAAAGATATTTAAAATATTTGTGTGATGAAGAAAACTGTACACATCATAAGATTCAATACTCTGATAATGGTACAGAAAATATTAATTTTAATCTATAGGTGCAATACGCAAAATAACAACCTGTAGGCAATGAAGGTTTGTTTATATTTTCAAATCTATAAACTAATTACTATGCAGGCCTATAACATGATAATGTAACTCCTTGTACCTGGTACCTAAGACTAATTTTATTATATGATTGTTTGCATTATTCAAACATTCATTAATATGAATTTCTAAATTAAATATTGTATCAAATGGTGTTTTGATTTACTTTAATTAAATTTAGAATAGTATAGACCAGGGGTCGGCAACCTTTTGAGACGGAAGAGCCAAAAGTTACAATTTACAAAATTTCCCAGTTTTTAAAGAGCCACTAACATTTTTATTTCAATATAATTATTAATATTTGCGCATGTAACTGGAGAGCCGCATTTTGACATCAAAAGAGCTGCATGCGGCTCGCAGGTTGCCGACCCCTGGTATAGACAGATAATCTGAATATCATATGCTCCCTATATAAATAAGTTAAAAAATAAAATAATATCTATGTATTTGCGGATCTTTCTGTGCATGTTTATTGTGTGCGTGTATTTCTGGTCATCGAGAACAAATATTGCTGCTAATCAAAATGCATAAAAATTGATTTTTTTTAAAGGCAGAAACAACTAGCAATGGCAGCAAAAACAATTTTCTGGGTCTTACGCCCCTAAGGGAGTGCTTTGATGCCTTGTTAAGAACAATTGTTCCAGGAACTGTTTCCAAAACATGTGCAGTAATTCGAGATCCATGGGAGGTGAATTTTTTTAAGGCTTTGTAAAGGAAAGTAGTTATTAGAGGGATTTTTTTTAGAGGGGGGTGTAGAGGTTTGTGATGTTATACTTGAGGGCGGTATAAATTTTTGTGATGATGGGAGGGGGTGGCACATATGGGCAAAATTTGCGTGACTTACTTTAAGCCTTCTCTCTATAAATATGAGTAATCTTTTGCTAATATATGGGCTTAAGTAAAATTAAGACAAATAAAGCAGGCCTACTTTACTAAAATTGCATTTATACAAGCAGTGCCGCTAGCTTTAGTTTTAAATTTCTTGTCTAGACTTTAGTTTCTAATCTAAAGAGTTTAAACTGTAAGTGAAGTCTTGACCAAGCATTTCAATTTCAAGTAATTTCCAGTTAAATAATATAATAATGATATAATATAATATGAATATGATGATATAGCCTGTAGTGTAGTTTAAAAATTTATGGCTATATTCTACTTGAAATTGAAATACTTAGCTGGAAGACTTGGACTTGGTCAAGACAAACCTTAAATTAATAATTTAAAAAACGGATTTGATTTTTAAGCAATTTTTTTTAAATTTAAGTTAGTTAGAAGTTATAAGTAGATACTTCGGTAAACCAAGGGAGGCTACTACTTTTTGTGTATCGGAAATGGCAATCGGCGCCGAAAAATCCGAGTTTTTAATTTTCCGATGTGTGTGTCTATTTATTATTAAATGAGTGCTTTCGATATATATTTGAGTTCCGTTTCCGGCCTTATAATTAGGTAGACATGTTGGCCTACATTTACATCGATTTTTTTAAAATTTTCAATCGACCTGTATTTTGAGATTCCCCTGTAAATATAAGGCATCTTTCACTATAAAATTCGTATAGAAGTTCAACTTTTATGTCTTTAAAAAAAAGTCTTATTCTGTATTATCTATCGATGTGTATTTGTGTCAATTCTCATTGAGTTAGGACATGTCGATCACTTGTTATGCTCACTTGAGTGAACCCCTATATGGTAATGTAGCTCAGCCCAATTTCGATAAGGAAGTGGCCACGCCCCCTTTCAG